TTGCATATCATTTTAATATTAGCTCATTTATTTATTATGTCAATGTGTAAGTGTATTTATCTACTAATTAATGGGCTCCACAATAAAAAATAAAATGGTTACAAATATTTTTAACATATTTTTGATAGGGAATTACTTAACAACTTCTTTGAGACAGAAAGTACTGTCAATTTTATTAAAAATAAATTACTGCTAACCTGTTTCAATTTCAATATCAATTTGTCTGCCTACTTGATCACGAGAGCCTTAAAAAAAAACATGTAAGAACTGAGGGGGAAGGAGCACGTTTATGTTTTTGTAAGGAAATTCCTTCACAAAAAAAAAAATTGTAAGAAAAACAATTCATTTAAAATGTAAAAAGCACTCACATCTCTTAGGTAGGTAGCTATTTGTCTCAGTGTATGTACGCGTATGTACATACATGTTCATGTCCACAGTCATATGCATACGTACATACAAATTGTCGTCACTTATGTCCTTTTAGACTCAACGAAAACGTATTTGCATATTTTTACCACACCCACACTTTCAACTTTACGCGAACACGTGTGTATAATTGTGTGTGTGTGTGTGTGTGTGTGTGTGCGTGTGTGCGTGTGTAATACACAGCTGTCCTTGTTTATGCATAATAAAAGCCTTGAATGCTATGCATGTCGACGCTTGCTTGTGTATTTGTTGGTATGTTTCGATGCTTGTATGTTGCATGTTTGTGCGTGTGCGTGCGTGTTCACTTGGGTAAAGTTGTGCAAAACGCAGCTTAGAGATTTTTAAGAAGATTCCTACACAAAAATGTGACATGTGTTTTTGTCGGCTTTCCCAACAAAACTTAACTGGCTGTTGCCCGATGCTGTTACAACAGCTATTGTAGCTGTAGCTCTTGTTGTTGTTGCCGTTATTGTTGCTGTTGGTTTCGTTGTGGTTGCTTTTCTTGGGGGTTGGTGTTGTTGTTGTAGTTGTTGGTGATGATGCGGTTAGCTTGGTTTCTGTCTGTCTACCTTTGGCGTGACTGGAGCACATGAATTTTGAAAAAGGTTCTCTACTTTTGGCCCCATCACAAAATGGTTATAAGCTAGAAAAAAAATTTTAAATTATAAGCTCGACAAAGTGGTCACAAAAATGCTAATCGCAGTCCGATGTTGACCTTTTTCAATGTAGTACATAATGTGCAATAATGGGGAAAAACATGGAGCCGACACTCGCATATTAAATGCAAATTTTATTAAATTAGCCGGCAAGCTTGGCAAACGAAAACGTTTTATGTTCAATTGCAGCCATTTCAAATCTAATATGGAAAAGAACATTATCTAAGGCTGACTCTTATCTGTGCCATTTAAATTGTATACTTTGATATTAAGAAAGTAAATAAATGATGAGCTTACTTGGAACAGTTTGCAGTTTATCTCACAAAATTATTATTTTTAAAGCCTTGATGAAAAACAGTAGCTTTACATTTAAAGAAACAACTGCATGTTTGGGCACGCCCTGAAAGTATGCAATAAATATTTTTAATCTAAATTTCACAATTCACGCAAAATTTGTGGAAATGTTCATTTTGAGCAAAGCCACGACGCATTTAGACAATACTACAAGTAGATAATGCATAAACAAATCCATTTTATGAAAATTAATTAAATGCGGTCGAAATCAAATAATGTCTCCCGAATCCGCCAATAAAACTCGATAGGGCTAAAAAATTCATTAAAAAAGCTGCCATTTACAATTTACAATGGCCACGACGTATTTAGACAATTAAAGAAATTGAACAAATGCGGCCCAAATCAAAAAATGTCTCCCGAATCCGCAATTGAAACCCTATAAGGGTAAGAAATGCATTCAAATGTCTTTTAAATATATTAAAAAATTTTAAGTAAAAATATATATACTTTTCCAAAAGTTATTGCAGTTCTATATTTATTTATTGGTAGGTATAGCCATTTAAAATAATAAGAATTTACTAAAATGTTAATGATGGCTTAACTTAATAATATTTTGTATTTAAAGCAAATTTTTAGTAAAGCACCAAGTATCAACATTATTATTTCCATCAATAGGCAAATATAAAACCATGTAACTTATATTCATAATTTAATGTTTAAATAACAAAACTTTTCAAGTTCGTCAAAGTAAATTTGTTTAATAAGTATAAGTATGTTCTCTTGGCATAATTTCGAAACAAATACTCTACTTAAAGTGATCCGAATTGATGTTTTTCTTGACTCGTAATGAACCAACTATTTTCCCTCGCACCAATTAGAATCAAGCATTCAAATGCCACATATTTAACGTGCAAATCCAAATTGCGAACTCGCTCTCAGAACCAACAAAAACACAACTGATTACACGCTTCAGATTCAAACCAAATTGTGTCATGGCATTGGATCTAACAACTTAGTAAACAAGCATTTTGGCCAACGTTCAAATCCAACTGCCACAGAGCTAGCAAGCTTTGCATAAATCAGGACAGCAACAACAATCAAAAAAAAAAAAAAAAATGCTGCCAATCAACGTGAGGCAAGCTCAAAAGTACCTTCAATTTGTCACGAACAATGGCGAACGCCAATTTGCCAACTGCAGATCTTGCAATTGTAATTGCAACAACGTTGATTGTTACTTAATTGCTCGAAAAATCTACCCTCCACTCTCCACTCGCCGGCCTCACTTTTTACAGTTGTTTATTGTCAGTGTGTGCGGGTTAATTGGTTCAATGCCAGACGGAAGGTGAATTAATTGAAGGTCATGAAATGGGGCATGTAAAAACGATTTATGTGTCAGGCGATAAAACGCGCAACACCCTACAACTAGCTTACAACAAAAGGGATTACAACAACTATTAGCCACTGGCAACAACAACATCAAAAAGTAAAACAAGTAGCCACAAGGTTTTATGTTTCAATAGCAAAACAACAACGAAACCAACAACATCAACAGCAGCAGCAGCAATAATTGCCGAGCAGTCTCAGCAATTTGCAAATGTAAACAAACCATGCGAGCGAAACTTAAGAGCATGCGAAAAAATATTTAAGAGAGCGCCTGGCCAAACTGTTATACGCGGCATTGGTTTGAAGTCCCTGCCGCCGCCTTCGGAAAACTAAAAACACACACAGTACGCACGCAGACTTCAAAGTGTGAGTAGTAAGTGCCGGAAGAATCGCGCGGCAAAGCGAAAGATTAAGCTAAAAACGAGCGCCGAAGCAAGCGAGCAAGCCAGCGACCGAGCGTCCCGCGGACCGCTCTCGAACGAACAAACGGAGTTCGCGCGCCGCACAAAAATCGCTTCTCGGCTTACCAACGCGTTTAATTTTATTTGCAAACAAATGTTTAATGACCAAACTTTCCACAATGAATGCGGCACACTCGGAAAAAAGAAGTTCCATTTGAAGGTCGGAAATAAAATAAAGTAGCGTTTCGTTTGCGCATTAAGGTGATTTAACTACAAGTATCTGCGAACAACTTTTTCTTTTTTCGAGCACATATTTTCGTGAATGTAGTTATTTACTTAATAATGACTCGTATCAAAGCATATGTAAATAGATTCGTTATATGAAGACTGTCTGGTGCGGCACAGCTTATGACCACATCTCTAAAATTATATAAGACACTGATAAGTTTAATATATGCGTGTTAACTTTCCTCAATTCAACTACGATTTAAACAACTAAGAATAATCTTCATTATTAAAGTTTACAAATGGATTTGAGTTTCTTCTAAAGATATAGTGTCTTTGCGGGAATTAAATTGGTTACATTTAACAAGTATTCTTGAGAGATTTAATCTTTTTTGTTTTACTTTTTTGAATAATCTCTCCACTGATTTAATTCGGCAATTAGGAATATATATTGCGGCAATAGACATAGCATCGGATTGAAGAAGGAGAAGTCCTAAATTTATTTATTTCAACTATTTAACGAAGAATTATAGCCAAACTATCATTATCATATCGACATTAACATATGGAAGCTGGCAACATTTATACCTCTATTAGATCTTTTATTTATTTATACCTAAAATGAAATAGATGTGGTCTCATTAAATTATTAAAAAGCCTTATTCATTTTTTGTATTTCAATATTTAATCCTTATATATCGGCTAGCTTCCAACCAAAGTTATATACGTAGTGGATCGGGCGTAGTAGGCGGTTGCTAAAACGGTCGAAAATATTGTTAGCACATTTTACTTCTCTTTTCACTCTTTTGTAAAAAATAGTATGGAAGCCTACTACTTTTTGTGTCTTTTAAAGTCATGTCTTCACCTTACCCTTTCAATCATAGAAGAACTGGTTCGACAATATCTCGTACAAGCATTGATTTGTGGGTCAAGATTTGAATAACTTTTTCAAGACTAAATAACTTTCCTCATTTTCCTTTTTCCTCCTTTTTCCTTCCTTTTTTTTAATGTTCTGTAATGTTGAAAAACAATTCAATTTGAACAAAGAAAAATGGACGAACAATACATGCGGCTTAGAAAATACTTTATTTTTAAGCTCAAATACCTTAATAATTTATAAAACTCCACATTGATTATTATTTTAAGACATTCATTATTTTCCGAGTGCAGCCTTGAAAAGGTTCTAAAAGAGAGAGAACAAGAAATTGCTTGCTAAGGTACCGTGTGGAAAGTATTTGACGCTGGCAAATATTTGCGGAAAATTAGAAAATGCCCGGCCAGGTATGTGCGCGAAAAAGAGTTGAGCCTGAAAGCATTAAATTTATTTTGGTTCATTTTTATGTTGGCACGTAAAATGACTTTGTTTCCTTCTTTACGAGAACGTCTTCCTGTTTTAATTTGCCAGCAAAAAAAGTCGCAAAGTTCTGGAAAGGATTTAATTTGGACTGAGTGCTTTATTGCCCTTATCCTTTTCCTTTCAGCCTATTCCTTCTAGATTAGCGAGTGCTTCCCCAAACAAACACAAAAAGGCTTTAAAAACCACTTGTTAAATGCTCACGCCATGAAAAAATATATTTGGCTATTTCGATTGAAAATTATTGATGATAAGTTCAGCTTATCCATGGTATCCCCCATCTTCATCGTATCCACTGCTATATGTGTCATTATCGCCATTGCGTTCTTTATAATAGAGGCCACGACGAAGTCTTGACAAGCCCGGAACGTTGATGCGCTTCTCACTGACCCTGATGCGTCTTCCACCGATGGAAGTACCGGTCAGCTGAATGGCCTGAGGTACAGATGAGGGATACTTAAATCTGATATATGCATATCCCTTCGGCATTTTAAAACGATCCGCAATTATGGTGACACGCAGTACAGGTCCGCAGTAGCCGAAGATTTGATTCAGCTCGGAAATTGTGGCATGGTATCCCAAGTTGCCCACAAAGACTGAATACTCATCGTATTGCGGATGTGCGAGTGCCTTCGAGATATGGCGTGGAACAATAGAATCACTGTTGTTCGCCGAAATGTGTTCGTCCTCCCAAAGGGATGGATTGTATCCTTCGTCCTCTCTGGCATCCATTGCGAAATCGAGCGATGAGAAGTTAAGTGTGGTTTTTCGTCCTCTATTGATGTTTTGCGTCTCGTTTTTGTTCTAGACTGAAAAGTAGAACAGACTTGATATTTTGAATACCAAAGCACACGCCTACTGTGAAGCTAGTATTGACTGCAAACTAGTTTTAGGCAAGAAGCGATTAATTTTCAACATTTGTTGTTACTAATCAAGTTTCGTAATGAACATTTATTAAATGCAGTTTTTTTTATAGTAGTTGGCTCGTTTCCATTCTAGATTGCACTCTTATGTTATGGGTTCGTTTGATCGTATTGTAGGCATAAAACCATCCATCCTAAATTGCTGGTCCTCGCCATTTGGTGACTTCTGGTGACAATCTGCTGAGCATGAAACTCAATCAATTGTTATTTTCGTTGCAAAAATCATATCTCCTGCACGGATAAAGATATTTATGTGCGCGGAAAAGAGTTGAGCCTCAACGCATTACATTTATTCTGGTTCATTTTTATGTTGGCACGTAAAATGGCTTTGTTTTCTTCTTTACGATTGCGGCTTCCTGTTTTAATTTGCCACCAACAAAAAATTGAAATTAAATTTTTGTCAGAGTCGCAAAGTTCTGAGCGGCATTTATTGTGGACAGAGTGCTTTATTGCCCTTGTCCTTTTTCCTTTTTAGCCTGCTTTTTGCCTCATTTTCTGCACTATTTCATGGCAATAAACAGAAAGACACACAAACACACGCATCTGCACGTATCAACACAAATGGAGAGGGAAAGACTCTGGCTGGCATGCTTGAAGTGAAGTGCACAGAGCCAATCATCAAATCCCTAGGGTAAATCCCCTAATCAAGACGAAACGTTTGCACAGCAATAACAACAACTCTATGGGTGTACTATATATATCCATGTCCATGTGTGTGTGTGTGTGTGTTTGTTTGCTTCATTTGGTAAGTCCTAAAAATATGAGGCCGCACCCAAATAAGCAGACTATAAATTTTTGGAGTTTTCTTTTTTATTTCTTCTCCTGACAAATTTACTTTTAAAGCTCGCATTATTTGCATTTAAATCTTTTATAAAAAGTAACAAGTTTTGTGTCCACGCATAATATATGATATGGCATGGGCATCAACAACCAGAACACTGTAGCTGGTCTGTGGGTCAAGCAACAATTTCTTAACAACCCCAAAAGAATACAAAAATGTCACATAATCGTAAAATGCACAAAAAATAAGAAAAATGCTATACGACATTGTAAGGAAGAGGGATGGAAAGTGCTACGGATTGTTGTCAATTGCTCTGGAATGTCTCTCGGCTAGTTGTCAATTGCACTGCGGACTGTGCATGTGTGTGTGTGTGTGTGTGTGTGAGTGTTTTATTCATAAAAATTCTGAATTACACATGCTCTTAAACAACAACAGCAACAATGGCCGTAAACAAACAAAGCAAACGCACATACCCTTAGGGAAAAAAACTCAGGAAACCCAACTATATATTTTGAATAATTTTAAAATCTAAGGTTGAGACTCAAATCAAGCTGAATTCCCAAGCACTACTTAAAGCTGCATATACGATCGTGTGTTATTTTTTATAATTGGGATTATAAGGACTTAATTAGTCATTCATCATTTTAATAACTTATTACAATTATTTTCAATATTGATATTACATTTTAAAAATATACGAAATGGTTCCAATAATTGGACAAAATAATTATTTTATTTACAATGTTTTGATATATTATTTAAGAAGGTTCGATTTGGGCTGCCTTTTTGAATGTAGCTTTGCAATTCTTTTCTCTTAAAAACGCTGATTTATGAACAAAAAAAACTTGACTAGAAATCTCACAACCAATCTACCTGAGTTTCCGGCGAGCCATTATTGAAATGAATGTAGAATTGACAGAGGAGATTTTCTACTAATAGTGTGATTTATACTTTACGAATAATAATATACTTATTAAATTAGAGTAACTATAATATAATGTTATTGCCCGGACCTTGTAAAATATTTTCGTAAGGAAAATTTCACCAAGACTAACATTAAAATTAAAATATGAATCCAACTTAAGGTGCGCGAAATAATTAACTGGGACAAAGACTTGGCACATTACAAGTATATTGTCCACAAAATGCCATTCTTTTTTTTCCCTCTTCCTCCTATTTTTTGGTTGTAGTAAGTATGCTTGAGCTGTAAGCAAAGAATTTTGCAAAAGTACCGCAAGGTTGTCCCATTATGTCTATTTTTAGAAGACAATGTTGACGCTTGTGAACAAAATAATTAACTGAGACAGATTAGTTTGCTTTCATTTGCGAATAGTTCATGACGTAAAATTTAAACTTTTTATACAGAATTCTGTTTAATCTATTATATTAATTAAAAATAAGTAAGTTTCAACTAAAATTATTATTTGTAGCAATTTTTAACTGATTTTTTTTTTAAGAAATGCACCTTACATCCATCAGCCATCACCATCATCATTTCTTGATAGAATTAAATTACTTTCAAATATTTTGCGCTTTAATAAAATCAATTGATTTCAGAACGAAAATCTCGCTTTTTTCTGAGTGTGTGCTGCATGTCTATACTCGTATGTGTTTAACAACATGGCGCGCATTTCAGCGCAAGTTTACGAGCAATGCAAGCGAGGCCATATTAAAAAGCATAAAAACAACAATAACAACAGCCACAATACCAAAATATGCTGCGGCATATAGTCAAATAAAAATGGCTCTAACTATGCAAGTATTGCTTTCAAGAGGAATTACTAGGCCAGAAAAAATGGGATGTGAGTTTGTCATAATGTTGACTACAGTTGTTCTATCAGTAAATAATACTTTAAGTATTGCTATTTATTTACATAAATAAATTGTTGAAAACGTTGAAATATTTTTTGGAAGTTTTGAAAATTGAAAAACTTTACAGTATAACCAATGAATACAAATTAATCATAAATTAATTAACTAAGAAATAATAAGCCTTTTCCATAAACATTTTCTTAGAATGTATTCACTAAAATGAACATAAAATGTTGAAGGCAGGAAGAAATAGTTTTTAATAGTTTTTTGCTTAAGATTTCAGAATGTCTTTAGCAAGCTTTTTTAGAACTTTTAGTCCTCAAACTGTTACTGGATTCAATGTCTTTCAGCACTCCACTTTGCTAGGAACCATTTACAGAATATTACAAAAATGTGGAATAAATTATTTATAAAAAAAGATAAAACAAAATCTCTCGGTTTACAAAAAAGTAAAGACAAAAAAAAACATTACATAAATCAACTATCACACACCTTAATCTACACCTCGTCTTCCACAATATCTGTGACTGAGTTCAGCTTTCGTATTTCGTCACTAAGTGGCTCACAAGCTTGTTAACTGCTTCGGAAAGTGCATACCAAGTAGCCAACGTCGAAGCAATAGTGCGCAGCAGGCAGGCAGCAGCCCAGACAATCAGACAACCAAACAACCAGACATTCAAACAAGCACCGCAACCAACGTGTTTCGCTGTTAGAAACCAATATGCGTCTGTGTGGCTGCTCTCTGCTCTGTGTGGTTGCTTTAGGTGGTGCGTGCATGTGGTGCCTTTGTGTGGTGGCGCCTCTCAATGCGTCGGCAACGAATTGTCGAAAGTCACGTTGCATATGCAGCGGGGAAAGACAAACACAAACAAAGCATTCTTAGAAATATTTAACGCGTGACAGAGCAACGCATTTGTTTTTGTTTTACGTTGCCAGCGGCTCTATACAGCTAGATCAGCTCGGAAAATGCACAAATTCTTTAAATCAATCTCGGCTATCTCATGCTATAGGTAGGTACATATAGTAAATAATTAATAGACTTGTCCGTCTGTATGATCGCGTATAGCGATATATAGACTTTTCGTATCTATATACAGAACAAGTTTTTTGTAAACTTTATATAACCCTATTATTTTATAGAATCAATTGGCAAAAAAAATCACTCTTAGGGGGATTAATTTTGTTTTTAAAGATATCTTAAAAAAAATTTAAAATTAAAATTTTAAATATATTAGTTTTGTAAGATGCCTCTTGATATTCTGAAGTTTTGTCAAAATCGAAAATATATTTAAAAAATCGGACAATTCGAAGTACATGGTCTGTTCAAAAGAAAATTGAAAGAAACAAATTTTAATTTTTCAATTTTCCCTAAGAGCACATTTCAGAAGTACTTCTAGAATTGGAAGAAGCGCTGGCATAAGTGCATTGTATCTGAGGGGGATTGCTTTGAAGGTGACAAAATTGATGAATAAATAAAAAATTTTCCAAAAAAATAAACATTTAAACAAATTTTCTTTCGAACAGACCACTTATAACACTTTTAATGAATATTGGTGGCAAAAATATTAGGCACATAAGTAAATACGTATGTAAGTAAGAACCGTTACTTTGGGATTGTGATTGAGTGTCTATGCGTGTCTATACTTCTGTTTTATTAGAGCGAGCTTTTGTCAGCTGATAACAAACGCAACAACTGTGACGAAGTTGAAGAAAGAGGAAGCATGCGCTAACAGAGAGACCTATGCACATTACATGAACTGTTATAGGAAACATTAAACATAAAACATTAATTGAAAAGTAAAAATATACATCCGTGCGTACTTACCTTTACATACATGGAGATTATTATTGATTATTATGATATTAAAAATCGTTTAATTTTTTGAATCACATTTTTGATCACTTAAAAAAAAACAACAACAAAAATTTGCCAATGCGCAATTGAATTGAAATCACATGCACACATGTATATATGTATTTATATATTTACATACATACATATGTATGTACATTTTACACATCACATCGCGAGACAGTTACACAATTGTAAACACACATGTACATATATTAAAAGCTAAATACGTATGTACATAGTTTCAATAATATTTAAATTATTTATAAACTAAACGTTTTCCAATTGTTTTCATAAATTTGTAACAACAAGTTCCGCGACGCGTTCAACTTGTTGAGCAAAACTAAGCCTTGCTCTGCCGCTG